ATTATTGTGAAGTTTAGATTGTTAAAGAAAAAAGAAGTATCTTTACTACTATATTTTTGTATGTTTTGTAATTTTAAAAATTTATTTTTGTAAATATAATAAATTTTTTTTAAATCATATTTTTTTTATTTTTATGAAATATAAATTTATAAACGATATTTTACTTCATTGTAATAATAATAAAAAGAAGAATAAAATAAAACCCCTTTGTTGAAACTAACGAGCAAGCTTTTCTCAGTCATTGTTGTATTGTTTAACAATGTATTTCATACAAATGATGTTATTTTCTAGAATTTTTTTTGTGTGTGTGTGTTTCATTTATTTCGAATTTATTCATTTCAATAATTAATTTGGAATGATGTGAGTTTGATGTAATAATGAGAATTGTAATTTACGACGTGACGTAATAGTGCAAGTTTGTGAGTTGTAAATATGATGTAATACTTCAAATTTATAAAACGTAAGCGTGGCATAATAATGAAAAATGATGTCAGCATGACGTAACAATAAAAATTAGTAAAATGTGAGCGCGACGTTATAATAAATATTGGTATAATGTGAGCGTGACGTAATAATAAAAAATTGATAGAATGTTAGCGTGATGTAATAACGCAAAATAATAAGATATAGTAATGAAAATACTTATTATGTGAATAGTATAATAATTATAATTGTATGAACTTTTATATTTGTTACGTAACATTAATATCTTATCAATTTGTACTGGTTAATAACGAAAATAAATAAATACCTAAATTTAATCATTAAAATGTGTTTAAAATTTAAAAAAAGATTACATTTAAAGACGTATTCTTAATATTTCAATACGTTTTCTACACAAAATTTCATTAAAAATAAATAAGTGTTGTTTGTTAATAGACATACAACCGAATTAATTCTACTGTATACTTTCATTTATAACATTATATTTAAAAAGAAAATTTTAAACAATAATAATTTATATCTAATATATAAAGTATTTATTATTTATAATGATCTCTATCAAGTAGAAACTGTAAACAAAATTAAAAAAAAACCATAAACAAATAGAAAATCTACTTAGTTTCTTACGTTATAAATTATTTTCTTTCTTAATTATTTAAATTCTATCAACAAATAAATTTATATTTATTACGAAAGAATAATTAAAAATCAATTTTTATTATAAACTTTTAATGATATCATCTTAAATAACGAAACATTAATGATCATATATTGATGAGGAGTAGAAAAATCTCTCGAGAGCCATATATCTTCTAGCTTTTGTTAAATATTCTTAACTGTGAATTTATTACCCAAACTATGCATTACCAACATTTAAAGCTAATATACTGCCAGATAATTGTTATAAAATTTAATTATTTAATTTAGGCAAATAAAAATTATTTCTTAACTTTCATAAACATTTTAATTATTTATTGTTGATTAATGTAATTTTTTTTATCTAAATAAATAATTTATAAAATTAAAAACAATTTTTATTTATTTTTAGTAATTTTTATTAGAAAAATAATAATAGTAAATTTAGTAATTTTGTAAAAATAATGGAAATTACATTAATAAAAAAATTCGATGATATAAAATATGAAAAGTTGTCTTAGTATCAAAGTATTTTTTTAAAATAAAAAGTCGAAAATTGTTTCCCTGACACTTTTTTAAGCAAAAAAAATTGTCCTTATTTTATAATGTATAATATATAAATTGAATTTAAAAATAATAAAGTCTAGAAAACGAGAAGTACGAAATATTATTATAATTTTTTTAATTTTAAAGTTTTTCTATGAATAAATGTTGCAGTTTGTATATATTTTTTCAAAGAAAAATTCAATTAAATTAAGTGATAACTATGAAAAATATTCATAGAACAATTTTTTAGAGTTAAAACGTTGAAGAAAATAATGAATATATATATATATATACATAAAAATATAGAAAATACATGTTCTAAAATAGAAAATTTTATACATTTTTATTATATTTTTTATGGAAAAAAAGAAATAAAATAAAAAAGTAAACAAAATTATGGAGTTTCAAAGACCAAAAAACAAAAAAAAAACCAAAAAAAATATTCAAAAAATGTTTTTAACAAGGAAGAAAAATTTCCCATGTAGAGTAAATGTATAAAAAGAAAAATAATATATATTTGTAACAATAAACAATAGATTTTTCTTGATTATTTTATAATTTATAGATCTTCTGAAATAAAAAAAACTACTTAAAAAATGTTTGAAAAATGTTTTATGGAAATTCTTTGCAAAAAAAAAAATCAAAAACATTGTTTGAATTTCTTGAATAATTAATTTTTTTGAAATTTTAATTGTAATTAATTTTGATTATGGCATTACTTTTATTCGCGAATATATTTTAAGAAATTAATCTTTAATTTTAATTAATTCTGATTTCGATATTTTTTTTAATTCTAGAATTTTTTCATAAAATTTTTTTTTATTTTGATTAGGAATTTCTTTTTAAATTAATGTTTAATTGTGATTTTTTTTTTAAATTTTAACTTTTTTTTCCCTTTTCTGGAATCAAAAACAATTCCAAAAACGTTAATTAATATAAAAATTAATATTTCAATTTATAATAATACAATACAATTTCATACTTTTTATTTTAATATCAAGATTACATACATATAAAGGTATTTTTTAAATTAAAAAATTAGTTAAAAATACATAAAAATTAATTTAATTTACAAAAATGTATAATAATCTTATTTATTAAAAACAAATTAAAATATATTTCTGATTGTATAAATTAAAAATTCAAGAAGAATTTTTATTAAAAAATTCATGAAAAAATGTAAGAAAATAATAATAAATTATTTTACAATTTAAGTATTTAATTTAATTTATATAATTTTTAAACAATTAAATTAAATTTTAATGCGATAAATATTAATTTAATACGAAAATTATCCATAACATTAAAGGAAAGTTTCAGGAAAAAGAAAAATATATAAATTGCAATATATAACTAAAAGGAAAATATTTGTGTAACGAAGTATATTTTTATTATATATTAACGAAGTTAATATAATAATAACGAAGTTACATATTTGTTCTAAGATTTGACATTAAATTAATATATTTAANTATATATTTATATATATTTATTTTAAATTGAAAATAAATTATGTAATTTAATTTACAAATTATAAAAATTCAAGAATATTTTTTTAATGATAATGGAAATTCTGATGGGATTGTGATGAAGATAATGTATATATGTTTATATACCTTGTCTAAATTAATAATTTATAAAGTAAGGAGTGATAAGAGAAGATAACTAAGAAGGCATTTAGTGAAGTTTATCAACAGAATAATAATCTCCTCATTAATAAATGATTTTTCTTTTTTTTTTTTCTGTCCTGCTCAAGTTAAATGTAATTATCTTTATTTAGTTTCATAAATATATTAAATAGGGTTTTAAAATTAGTTTTATTGTTAAGAAATGTATACGTATCTCTTAGTGAAATGCACGCATCATTTACCTTGGTGAAGCATTTTTCTTGAACTTATCTCCTTTATCCAAGTAGAGATGAGCCAATTCCCAATTGTGTGTAGTGTGTATCTGTGTATGAAATATTATGCTCGAAGTTAACTCCTTGTATATAATTGAAAAAGTGTAGAAGTTAATGACGTTTTATACTGTTAAATATTATTAAGGATTTAGAGTTATTATAGAGAGACTTGTGCAATTTCTTCATTGTTTTTCTTTTCTTTTAATGGCTATAACATTGTGTAAATTAATACAATTAAATTTTATTTTATTTAAATATTTATAAAATACAGCACATAAAAATCTTAATGAATTTCTATAGAATTTATAAGTTAATGTTGTGATATACTTGTAGTTAGAATGGAGCAAGGAGTATCTTTTGGTTCTGATTTTAAGCACAGAGGGTGTACAAAATTTAAATTTTTATGCAAAAATTAATACATTATCGTTTATTTTAATACATTTTTATTTGTTTCATTGATTTTTACAGCTTTACAAGAGTAATCTCATCTCATCAAGTCATTGATTAATATATTTCTTTATAAATTTTCTTATTATGAAATATTAAACATGATGTTCTAGATTTACGCAATTTGCACTATAATCAATGTATATTTAAATCGAATGAATTAAATTATTGATAAAATGTTTCTTGATATAATATTGAATATTATTTATACAGTACTATAATAAAACTTCTTACTGTATTGAACAAATCGTTTAATAAGAATTTTTCATATAACTTCTTGCTTGGTTTCTATTATTTTATTCGTTTGACAATACACAAGATCACTTATTTAAATTGCAAGTGAAACTCCGTTTATGTTACCTTTTATAAGAGTTACTTCTTGCATTAGATTCCTCACATTTCAGGTAACTTTATCCCATAGGGAATTGGAACCCAGAATCTTATCACTTTTCAAAGATCTACTCAAAGCATTCTTAGCATGAATTTCGATTCCATTTTAATGGAAACTACCTTGACATCTCCTGTAAAACTGCGTGCAAATTTTGATATAAAAGACAGTTTTATAGGCTATTCTAAATTTTCTTTTCTCCCGTTTACCATGAAAACTAACGTATAATACAAAAATTATTGCTCAGAACTTAATAAATTTTGAATTATTAAATCATAGAATAAATCAGATTTATAATAATTAATTTTATAAAATAATATTCTATAAATAATGTAATGAAAAGTTATAACATTCCTGAAACTTGACATAACTTATATTCAATGTTCTACATCAACTTCTCTAAATGCCTAGTTTCTTTACTAAAAAATTAATTATATTTTAAGATTTTTTAAAAATTAAGTTTCACAAAAAATATAAAATAAAACATTCAATCTTTAACATTTATCATATAAAACAAATCTGGATAAATTCTACTAATAAATTGTTTATAATCAAAACAAACATTTCTAATTTATTACTTGGAAAATAGATTTATTTTATATCTCGAATTTAAAAAGAAATTAAATTAATTCTTTAAAATTTGGCAAATTTTCAACTTTTTAACATTGTCCTAAATAACCCAAAAACGAAGAAGAAAAAAGCAGTTTTTTTTATATAGAACGACTCAATGTAATTGCCTTAATATTGTCTAAATTGAATAATATAAATAGAAAAAAAAGCCTTGAAAAAATAAAAATTAAATTAATAATTAATTAATTTTTTTTTAAATATTAATTTTAAAATGTTAATGTTTTTTTTAATTAAAAAGTTTGTTTTGATATGTGTTACGAAGCGTTGAATTTAAGTTGATTTTACGAGCGTGTCAGAATGTATTCGTTGTCCCTTTTTAAAATGTATAGAACTATATATAAATTAGAAAAATATAATATATATTAAATTAATGTTAAAAATTGATTAAAAATATTATTAAAAAAAACAATTGAAGTCTTCTTCTTCTCCATTGTTTGTCACAATATCGATTACCATTCTTGCAAAAGGAAACCACTAGCAGCATCTACATTTTCAACAACAAAGAATATATAATCTTATACATAGAATAAATTAATTGAGTAATGTTACAGTAGAAAGTAAAGATGACGTTAAGAATAGGGAAGAAAAAAGTTAAAATTGTTCTTTTGATTCTATCGTTTCCTTATTTTGATAAGTCCAAAAGAACAGGTGACGACAGCTGCCTAAAGACACAGAGTATTGATTAGTTTTAGTTCTTTTGTTGTGTTTTTGGTGAAGAGAAGCATTGAAACTATATTTAATATTTGTTAAATTCATCAATAATACTCTTTTTTTTTTTTAATTTTTTCAACACAAATTTCGTTAGTTTTTTTTTTCTAATAAAGATTTTACGTATTAAGGAAGAACAGAATTAATTTCGAGTAGATTTAATTCAATTAAAGTATTGTATAAAATTTGATCCGTTTAAAATTAAAAATAAAATAAGATTAATCTTTATAATATTAGTGTTTTTTTTTGTATATNTTGATGTCTATGAAGTATGTTGTTTCACGTTGTATGTCGATCAATGTGATGTTATGATGAATCGTTTTGTCTGGATTATTGCTCTATCCAGATATTTCATTCTCCAAAATTGCCTCTCTACTAGTACTTCCGTCTGAGATTTCAAAATTGTCCAATATTTTATAGCAATTTTTTACTGTTTATAACGTAAATAACTACTTAAATTTTTATATTATAAACATATAAACAGACTAACTAGCGTTATATACGCTATTTAACTCATTGTATAGCATATAAAACTTCTTTTAAATTTTATATGTGGAAATATAAAAAGCATGTAAAATTATTAATTAATATATGTTTTTAATATATTGATACTTGGCAACTATCCATTTAAATTTCACGTACATATCAATCAATATACAGATAAGATGTAGCAGTACAGTAAGTGGTTCGATGACGTTAATTTGTATATCAATACCCTGGTAACACCTGAACTAACTTTCACACTTTAACATTTTTTTTTCACATTTAAATATTAAATACAAGGCTATTATTATGTTAAACATAGTTAATTAAGTACGAAAGAACTATTATGCAAATTTATGGAGGAGTAAAAAAGGTTTATTTTTTATCTTTTCAGGGTGTTACGTTTCCAGCCATGCACGCGATGTGGGGAATTTGGGCACCTCCTTAGTAAATTTATACATTCATAAATCTAAAACTTTGTATATCGTATGTAAAATATTGGTGATCGTGAAACTTTGATGTAACTGTATACTAATATAAATTACATTACATCACGCAAATTATTATAAAATTTACATACATTTGTTATATACTTTCTAGGATATATCGCTGGAAAGTTTGGAGGACGAAACTTATTTGGAGGTGGAATATTTTGTACAGCTGTACTTACTGTACTAACACCTTTAGCTGCTAGTGTTAATGTTGGATTTGTACTCGCTGTACGAGTAATTGAAGGACTTTTCGAAGTAAATAACCTTAATTTTTCCAAATATATAAAGTTACATTTATAATTACCTGTATATAATTATTGATAGCAATTTATTTTTTAAATTTTAATTAATTTTATATAAATTTAAATGTTTGTTTTTTTGGTGGGTTTCTTAATTAAAGTGATGTTTTCCAAATATTAAATTTACATCAAAGTATTTCAGATATTTGTTTTATTGATTTATCACTAATTAAAACGAACTTTAAACCATTTATCAACTGCTCATTTTTGTATATTTGAAAGTCATTTATATGCCAGACGAATTAATTATCGAAACATGGATATAGATTAAAAGAAAAATGAAATATTAATCATGATTTTGATGTCATTACTAACTTTTAATGACGACAAAAATATAATCAATTTGACTCGTTCTGTCTTTGGTTTACGTTACTTATATAAACAATAAGTTTTAATATAACACGATGTGTTTAATCACTTTTTTTTCTATTGTATCAGTTATCAATTTCGATATCGTGATTGGTTGTTTTATTAATGCTCAATTACAGCAATGTGATTGGCTAATTTAATTTGTGCTCATTTTCGCTACCTTTTCGGCTTCACGATTGGTTAAGCTTTATCACATTTCAGTTTCCTTGTGATTGTTTTCTCAATTCAGTACCTATAAATGGTGAGGGATTGCAAAATCGACTAGGTAATGGCCTGGAGCATTCCCAGGAATTCTAAAAGTGGTTAAATTTGGTTCTGGTGAAGCGTAGAAAGACGAGAAACTATCAAATATAACTTCTTTTTTTTCCACTCTAGTCAGAGGAACAACAATTTTGAGGGAAGGCATGAACTAACTGCTCTTTGTTTGAAACCTAGACACTTCATATCATTAGTGCTTACATTATTCGCTACCCTAGGCAAACGTGAGTTTGCTAGGTTCCATTTATATAATATATAACTCATAACACGTGATACTGGATATTGTATGAAGTCTGGCTTGTGCTGGATTTCAAATATTGGACTAAGAGAAAGTAGCTGTAAATGTATATTTACCTAAAACACGAAATTGTAATTGCCTAAAACCGCCATTTACCGTTACTGTCATCATTATCGTAGCGATTAATTAAGCTTCATTTATGCTGTTACTGATTTTGATTGGTTAAACTTCATTAATAATCATTCAATCATGATTGGATGAGTTTCGTCAATGCTCAGTTTCAGCAATTTAATTGGCTAAACGTCCATTAAATATGAACTGTTAAATCAAACACCATTTAATAGACACTAATGTGTTATTCCTCATCATTAACTTCTTTCAATACAATTAACGTATCTATTATCTAATTGTCAAACTTAAAATGAAAATAACATGTATATTAATGTATCGATAAGCGATTATACTGTCAAATAATCCGTCTAGCACTGGCTAATTAGCGTGTATATTAATTAATTGCCAATCTATATTTAGGTCTATCTATCTACACATACGTTTATTACGTAGACTACGCTTGCACATTAACACTGATGACGTAGCATTAACGAATTAACTAATACATCATAATGGGTAGATACTGTATAGTATATATTTATTTTACCAAGCTTAATTAATGTCCTGTTAGTATGCATTTTAGTTAATTAGTTATTGCTTATGTCTAATGTTCCTATTTTATGTAAATGTTATACATTAGGTGACAAAAATGCATGTAAAAGGAAGCTATCAGTAATCACGAGAATGTTTCTGACCTGAAAAAACTTTCGTGGTTAAGTCTTGATGTCTATGAAGTATGTTGTTTCACGTTGTATGTCGATCAATGTGATGTTATGATGAATCGTTTTGTCTGGATTATTGCTCTATCCAGATATTTCATTCTCCAAAATTGCCTCTCTACTAGTACTTCCGTCTGAGATTTCAAAATTGTCCAATATTTTATAGCAATTTTTTACTGTTTATAACGTAAATAACTACTTAAATTTTTATATTATAAACATATAAACAGACTAACTAGCGTTATATACGCTATTTAACTCATTGTATAGCATATAAAACTTCTTTTAAATTTTATATGTGGAAATATAAAAAGCATGTAAAATTATTAATTAATATATGTTTTTAATATATTGATACTTGGCAACTATCCATTTAAATTTCACGTACATATCAATCAATATACAGATAAGATGTAGCAGTACAGTAAGTGGTTCGATGACGTTAATTTGTATATCAATACCCTGGTAACACCTGAACTAACTTTCACACTTTAACATTTTTTTTTCACATTTAAATATTAAATACAAGGCTATTATTATGTTAAACATAGTTAATTAAGTACGAAAGAACTATTATGCAAATTTATGAAGGAGTAAAAAAGGTTTATTTTTTATCTTTTCAGGGTGTTACGTTTCCAGCCATGCACGCGATGTGGGGAATTTGGGCACCTCCTTTTGAAAAGACTAAACTGGCTACATCTGCTTGGTCTGGTACTCCATTTTAAATTGTTATTTTATAAAAATTTTATTTAATTAAATTACATAATTAAGCATAAAAGTATAAATTATATACCAGTTTTTCTCTCTTATCATGGTTTGATTTAGTGTCTCCACATATATACGTGTATATTAAATGTAATAAATAATAAAATGCAATAAAAATATTCATAAAAATTTCATTTTTCTAAACTTTTCTATTGTCGAATGGTGTTCATATTTATAACTCTTGGTGCCATTTTTCAAATCGGTTGTCAACCAGTTCATTTAATCGCTGAGAAATTCTCATAAATACCAAAATTCTTATGCTGCATTTGAGCAACTTTTCTTCGTCTTCTGATAATTCATAATGATTTTCAACTTCCTCCTTCACATCATATCGAATTTATGATGTCTCTTGGGATCTTTTTTACATGACATTTATATACTTTTCTTTATCAGGTAGTTAGCTTTACCCTCCTTCTTTTCCTCCTCCTTCTCCTCCTCCTCCTACTACAACTACTACTATTATTATTATAGCAATAAAATTGGAAACAATTCACTGTCATCATCAATAAAAAATGTAATGGAATTTTATATTTTTATTGATTAAATGATACTAAATACACGTCTTAAGGATGCTTCCAATCAGAATAATATTTATTTATTTATTTAAAATACGAAGAAAGTTTAGTAAGATCTGTATAGAAGTGAAAATTTTTAAGTCGTTTGTCATTAACTACCCGTAAAATAATTCGAAATTTATTAAGCACTTTCAACTTTTACGCTACTCTTTCTTTACTTTTTTCCTTAGCTATAAATGCTTTTAAGTGAAGACATTACTGAAATTCCTAGAAGTTCTTTACATCTCGTATAATTTTGAACATTATCTTACACTCTAAAAACGAGCTATTAAACTGTGTTACTCTTCAACCATAAACACTATGAATTGTGTAAGATAAAACAATGACGTTTGGGACTAGAATTTAGTTATGAACGAATAATTTTATTCTGTTAAAGAGTTGATACTAAGTAATTTTAACAATAACATCATTGCTCTTTTGTTATTAGGTACTTTTATAGGAACGGTGGTAGCGATGCCATTATCTGGTTTGCTTGCACAACACGTCAGTTGGCAATCTATCTTCTATTGTTTCGGTGAGTATTATATTCGAGAATATACCCGCGAGAGGAAGTAGTCTAATCTCTTACAGAAGTGTTATTCCTATATCAATTCCAACCCCTAGAGTTTTAACGGAACTCATCAAAATTTAGATTATTTTGAACGTTATCTATATATATAGTATATCGCCGTTACACTCTTGTCGGATCTCAATTTATTGTTACGATACATTTAATGAATTATATATATACCTTACACTACAATATTTATACGGATATAACGGATAAAATTGGAAATTTAGAGATAAATCGAGCGTGTTTACGTGATTTCACTCTCGTCTCTCGTTAAGTTACGCTTTACAAAAGACGTTCATTCGAGTTGTACGAATGATGTGATGTTTTTTGAATTATAAACGTCATCAAATACGAATTTCAACGGATGTTGCGTACTAGAACTGATCCTTTCTTTACGGTCCAATATAATACGGTCTGACACACAATCAATCATTACCTCCCTTTTATTACCGTGCAGAGACTTTTATCGACGAGATGAGTCCTTACTCCTCGAACTGTGCAGAAAAAATATTTAATTTTTTCCTTTATTTCCGAATTATGAACATTGTGACAAATTTTATTTCTATTTTCTAGGTTCTGTAGCTATTTTATGGTCGCTGGCTTGGTTCTATCTGATTCGTGATAGCCCAGAAAAACACGAAACTATCACCTCTACCGAATTAGATTATATACACTCTACTATAGGAATTCAATTAGAAAATACCAAGGTGAGACATTTTTTTTGACAATTAAATGCACTAAAATACTAAGAAAACACATCTCTAGTGTTTGTACATCGTTTAAACCCAAAGTTCTAAGTTTAAGACCTAAAACTTAAAATCAAAGTCCTATACTTGGCTATATCTAATTATATGAAAGAAGGCAGAATTTTGTTTATTTATTTCTTAATTTTTTTTTTAATTTTAGGATTTGTCTACTCCGTGGATACGCATCATTACTTCTCTACCCGTTTGTGCTATAGTTTTAGCACACTTCAGTGAAAATTGGGGTTTTTATACCATGATTACCGAGCTTCCAACATACTTGAAAGATGCACTGAATTACGAATTAGATAAAGTGAGTAGATAAGTCGAATGTAATCTTTAGTTAAAGAGAAAATTTAAAAAATAAAAAGTAATAATGAAAGTTCAAATAGTGATTGAAATTTTGATTAAAAACGAGAGGAACTAAATAATAAATTCTGTTACCAATATCTATATTGTTTATACAGGATAAGAGCATATTTAATGCTATAGATGTTATAGTGAGCAGGACTTATGAGCAAATGTTTTAAATTATGAGCATGTTTAATATAAATGATATCAATCAGCTTATTTTACATGAGCATACTTTTAAAAATATTCCTTTTAATTACTCACCAATAATAAGCTTAATTTATATGAAAGTTTTCAATAAGCTTTATAAGGATGTGTCAAAGATATACTGTACAAGTCGACCCCCCTATAACACTGTTGATAATTCCGTTTTATATGAATTTCATGTTGTAGGAGTCACTTAGATTTTACAAATACGTGTGCCGGGCTGTGAACGGCTCACGTATTTGTAAAATCTAAGTGACTCGTACAACATGAAATTCATATAAAACGGAATTATCAACAGTGTTATAGG